GCTAAAATTCTTCATAAATAAGTATACAAGTCTTGTGAACCTTCTCTACTGTAGAACTAACTGGCACCTCGGAGGTTTTTGTACCCAAAATTCTGCAAATAAATAGACTACATGATTTTATTTGAGAAATTTCGCAAATCAATTTATGCTTTATAGGGACAGGATTCGCCTATTTTTGTCTTCGATTGCAGGATTGAGTCACAAATTCTTTATCATACTTCTGTTGTCTGCTATGACCTTTTCTTTGGCCTCAAAAATAAAGTCAAGTGCAAGTACCGTAACTTGACTTATAAGCATGGTTATTAGACTTGACGAGCCGTCATCACTGAAATGATCAATATCAAGATAACATTTGGGAACAAGATATCGCACGACTTCAAAAGTTGCCGCTTTTGAAGTTATTGTGGGGATTAGATTTATTTGTAAAAAAATCTTACTTTCGTAAGAAAATTTGGGAACAAGATAACATGACTTCGGCATACATAAATCGTCGAGAACTTCACCGAATCACTGAGAACTCGATTAAAAATTCTCCGACCCAGATAAAAATGGTTAAATCACATTGAATTGCCCTGAGTCATCCCGAATTTAGCATATTTTGTTTATATTATTTTGTTTCTTTTGCTAATTTTTTATTATTTTCGTTTAGCATAATTCTTTTATATTATACATAATTTTTAAAATATTAAATGATTCAAAATTTGCGTCTCACTAAAATCGCAACCAATATGCCAAACTAATGTGGAACGGTTCAGACCGCATCCGCGATTTTGAAGCATGCTTATAAGGCCGAATTTCCCCCCATATATGCAATTGTCACCTTGTCGCCAATTTCTAATCTGATTTAGGAAATTTTGGCATGGATTCCTCTTTGATTGCTGCGTTGTGGGAACGGGACATCGAGACTTTGACATCTCTGTTGAAAAGTAATTGCAAATGGATGAGAAACTAGGGAATACCACCAGTTTTTCACTTTTTTGTAGCGACATTTCTACACTTCGTTACGATAAAAAAACATACTCGGATGGTGGATCAATTTGTTGTTTATGAAAAACTGAGTAACACTTGCCCCCTTGAAGGTGGGAGTAACAACGCTTTATGCCCTCAACAATGAAAGTAACAGGCAGTTTATCCACTCGAAATATTTTCATTTGGTGTTTATATCAAGTATTCCACTTGGAAAAGCAAAAAAAAAAAAAATTGCTTAAATCTATTGACAATATTACCCTTATATTGTAATTTTATCTTTAGTCAAATAGATCCTACGGAAGCATAAGTTATAAGACCATTTGTGTAATAGATTAATCCATGACACTATATATTAGTAGGTAACATATATAATATATTAACATATAAAATTCGACAATTTGGTTGTTAATCAGGAATCAGTAAATCTAATTAATATCCATTCTCAGGCTGTTTTACCAAATGTTAAAGTAATCGAATTTGAATATGTATCTTGAAATTGTTTTACAAACTTTAAAATTTAGATATCATTCAATTTTATCAATTTTTCAATTTTTTTCGAAGCTTGAACATCCAAAATATGAGCTTTTTTTTTAAGAAATCCTTTAGTGCAACATATGGCTCTTATTCCTCAATATATATCCTTTATAAATCACCGTTATTTTATCAAAAGCATGAGGATACATTATTGTTTATCAATACCATAAGAGTAAAATTGTCAACGTATTTTTTTTTATTTTTCTCAATAAATGTTCTTTATAAATTTGGATTAATCTTCTATACGTGACAATATATACACTATCTCTATTGGATGCATGATAATTTATCTGAATTTAAATTTTATTTATGTGTTATACTTCTTACCGTAAAAGCATAAACATTATCGGTGTATATAAAATTAACTCTATAAACTTTCTGTTATTTAGCAATAGCACGAGGGTTCGTTATTTATCAATAGTATAAGGGTAAATTTATCAACTTATTTAAGCGGTCCGTCTTTCCGCATTTTTCAAAAGCAATGCTTGTCACAAATACCAAACAAAATATTTCAAATGGACAAAATTCCTATTATTTTCATTGATGGAAAACGATAGGTCAAGTTTACTCAACTCACGATTTTATCATACAAAACACTTTGAATAAAGCAAAGATTCAAAGTAGGCAGCTGGACTTTAGTTACAAAACAGTAGAAAAAGGACATGGGTTTTGACGAATTTCTTTTTTTAATGCCGGAAATATTCCAGCAGGTTGATACTGAACACCTGGAAACCTTTTATCTGTGACAATGCACAAGGGAATAGGATCCTTCCATCTTCTTCTTTTCTTTTACAGTAAAGCAAGGCGCATACTACATGGTAATAGGAACCTGAGCTTATCCGTCATCTTGATTCTATTCTTTTCTTTTTTTTTTTTTTCTTTTTTTGCATTACGTCATCTTGATTGTTGAATACTTACGCAACATGTTTTCTTTAAATTATCCAATGAACTTTTTTATAAATTTTAATGGTGCGTTTGGACACGATATTTATTTGGATAAATATTTATTCTTGCATCATAAATACATTTTTTTCGATCACCTCTTCATGTTCTCAGTCATATTTTTTAAAAAAAAAAATCACAGAAAATCTTATCAAATTAATGAGCAGGCTAAAATATATTTTGATTTCTTATGAGATATAAAATAAAAAAAAAAACTACAGGATTCTTTTCATTAGACATAACATGACAAATTATAAGCAACGTAATGATTAAGCATAATGTATAAATGACGAAACACGGTAGCCGTTCAAAGGTCATCACGAAATGTGCAACACGTTGCTGTGCTCTAGTCAATTGGATTAGTTGAAATTCCGGCCTGCTCGAAAGGCAGGAGACATTGATGCGACCAGACATTTTGTGAGTAGGAAGATAATACTCCACCTCCAGAATCAATCAACCCATCCAATACAGCTTTAAAACTCTACTTGGGGATGGCCCGTTTGTCCTTGATTTTAATATTTTGAAAAATTTCATCAACAGGTTGCATAAACACTTGTCTGGATCGATGATAGTTCACCGAATTTTCTTGATCTCTTTAGATCCCCTCTTCCTAGTGTAGAATATGAGTAGTTGTAACATAAAATCGATCGTGTTGACAAGAAAAAAAAAATCAATCCATTCAACTTTCTCAGCCGATTGTGAAACACCATTTCTTATTTTTACGCCACACATCTTCCCAATTTTTTTAAATTGCGCACACTCAATCTACAGGATTTAATTACTTCTCTTACTACAAGACCCTTACCTAACCACGTCTAGATCCAACTCTACCCAAACTTTTCTGGTTCACCCCAACATTTCATACTTGTTCAACTGTTGATGAGCAGTTTTTGGATATCAAATAGACCTCCCAGAAGGTGATTTTAATATGGTCAATTTATCCCCTTTTGCAATCAGTTTAGCTACATCACTTACTACTCTAGTTAATTGTCCCCCTTTCAAAGTGGATTTTTATGCTATGCATGGCCGTAATTGAGGGCATATCGGTTAAAGTATATTCTTCTTTTATCAATCAAAAACCCTTTCCCAAACTGTACAAGTTTCTTACAAAAGGATACTGACTTTTTGGATGTAGACGGTGATATCTATGCAAATGGATATATGAATTCAAATCTGCCAAATACTCCTACAGTTCCTCGAGTTCAATTAGGCTTTATGACGTAGATTCCACAGACCCGAGTTTAAGAGCATACATACAGGATTGGGCTCCCATTTGGACTGTTAAATTTTATAGAAACGTATATTATATAGCAATTTGATGTACATTTGATAAAGAAATAATTAAAAAATATGTTCATGAAAACGTGAAAATCTTTTGAAAACAATTGATTTTCCAAACAAGACAGTTTCTAAGTTTTTAACTATGGGATCAAACACTCGCTCGTAAGAATATTGGGGTTTAGGAGTTAGGACCCTATTTGAGATCTGGTTCAATCCCATAATTGATACTTATTTTGTATTTAATATTACATATATAGTGAAACTTTTCTTGACCCAAAAACAATATTTTATATATATAGTTATAAAATTAGACATAAATTATGAATTATAGACATATGTTATGATTGTCATGCATCTAAATCTGACAAATAAATATTTATACAAATACTTATTCGAGCCAAGTTTTAGTTGGTCCGAATCTAACGGAACCTGGACTCGCTCACAAATGATATCTTATATTTAGGCCCACCCAAAAGCACCTAAAGCTCGGTACCAAAGTTTTCGGGTCACATGATCTAAATTCGGCCTAACCCAGGCTGACTGACTGATTTACAGCTGCACAAGGGGGGCCAGCCCACTATGCACTAAGAAGATAATTTCTTTCTCCTTCATGTGCCATGATTACCGGATCCAATGCCATTCCTAGCATTGGATTCTTGACAAAGAAACGGGCTCTCACGCCCCGTTTGTCTCCACAGAATAGGAGAAAAAAAAAAAAGGAAAGGAAAAGAAATAGAAAGATAAGATTTTGATGCTTGAATTGATTTTTGAGGAGGAAAAAGAAAAGATATAAGGTCTAGTTATTTTTTGTCGGCGTGCTTTCCATCCAAAAGTGGATAGAAACAAAGGCAAAGGAAACCAAGACTAATGAATATTTTTAAATTTCCTAAAAAATTTTATGTCTTTGCAAATTAGACTTCTAAATCGTGGATAAAAACGTACTTAACGCATGATAGTTTCCTTCCATTTCCTTTCCTAATCCAAACAATAATATTTTCAATATTTCCTTTCTTTCACTGTCTCCTTGCCTTTCTTTTCCACTGGAGTCCTCTCATTTCCCTTCCCTTCAATCCAAACGGTGCCTAAGTGATTGCAGGAAACTCCTCGAAAGCACTCGCAGCTGGAAATGCAAGGATAGGTTCCATACCCCTTTACTTGTTTGTGTTTGTGCATTGAACCATCTAGCTGTTCTAGTTTCATCAGAAGCTAGCCAGATATCTTGCAATAAGAAAAAGATGTGCAGTGTTCCCTGGGAAACTAATTGTCCAGTAGCATTAGGAAAGGTCGTCCAGATCAAACTTTTGGGATTCTTGAACAGCTATAGAGCAGGAATCTGCTTCACATAAATCCTCAATGTGAGCTAAAGACGCTTGCAAAGCAGACGTGGACACTTAGTGGAGAATGTTCCCAATAATTGACTAGCAACAAGGTCCTGATGCAGCAAAGAGCAACAGTAACAAAGGAAGACCATTTGCTGCATGACTAAATACCATCAATCATCACTATCAACAAGGACAAAGAGCACACCAACTTGGTTGCTGGATTTGGGGCAGGGACGGTCATACTGATGACCATCCTTGCACGGTTAAGGGCCAAGATTGGCCCTCAAAATTTTGTGCGGCTGAGATTACACCATGTAACTCGATTTCCGCACCAAGTGTGGGGCCCACCACTATCTGTTGTGAAAATACATCCTGTGAAAAAAAAGTTACACAATGTACAAAGAAAGTTACGCGCAGTTGATTATCAACTAAAATTGGCAGGGACGGTTGCACCTGCAACCGTCCGTGCCTCGAGTCCCTTGGTTGCTCCATATGTCGGTATAAACATTTGGACATCTTTGGTAAAATTTCATGCAAGTTACAATAACAAAGGAATAATGAGAGTCGACAAATGTATCTCATCTATGACAACTCAATCGTACAGTCCCTCCTGCTCCCAAATATCAACAAGAAAATCTACCACTTCCTGTCATTCATTTAACCCAAGGATAATCAGAGGAGCACTTTCATATCCATAACCAAAGATAAACAGTTTTGCAACAGACTTACTGGTAGAGGGATGGGCTGAGGAAAAGGTTTATTGGTACCAAGCAGACTCTCGTAAGTTGCATTCCACCTGGAACCAAAAAAAAAAAAAAAAAGAAGATACCTTCAGCATTAGGAAATAATACAGGAGCACAAGTATTATTTGAGGGGATGCTGTCGAGGTTGGATTCTAATAGTTACAAACTTGGAAAGCTGAAGAAAGTAAATCTTGAAAATGTGAAGTCAATTGGCCCAAATATAGATAAATGTTCTTTTCTCCTGTCGTAGTTTTCCTGATGCCTACCCTAATTTGGGCTCTTGAGGTTGCTTGGGTCTTTTGGACTCCTTGTCTCCAATCCACAGCTGCCTTGTCTGATTCCAAAGGAAAAGTCCTGCTCAAAAACATATGTACAAGCATATGATAAATAAGAATGATGCAAAGGGTAGAATTGAACTAAATTTAAAAATCAGCTATGCCAGACGAGACTCACCATGATTTACAAACTCAGTAGGGTTGCTAGTGCTGCTGCTGGTACCCTGCTGGTCAAGAGTCAGATTCGAAGTGCTAATTGAAGAAACACTTCTTTGGGATGGAAATGCACTATTCTCCATTTCATATGTGCTGCTACTCCAAAAATCCTCTTTTATGCTGGGTCTTTTTACCCGATGACCTTGAATTTTAAGCCCCTTGGATGGCTCATCCACAGATATTATAAGTGGCGGCTTAGTACAACATCCAAAACAACCTCTGCTCTGTTGGAATCAGGTTTGCAACCACAAAAAATGATTAGTACACACATTTGAGTATACAACATATACAAAATACAAACTATCTCAAGCACTATAAATTCCAACACCTGAAGATAAATGCTTTTTGCCAAGACCTAACAATACCATCTTCCGGAAGGTTCAAATAACTTTAGCTTAACGAACCACCGCAAGTACTATTTCATAGGTTTACACATAAAAATATATAGAGATAAACATATGTACTTAAAATTGTAAAAATCTAGGTTAGGTTCTTAGTTCAAGCAGAATTCTATTTTCATGCATTATGTGAGCATATATGCACATCAAGCTGGAACCTATGCAAATAAACTTTGAAATTATTGTGGTTGCAGATTTTCCAGGTTATAACTAAGTTGACTCAAACATGAAATCCTCCTTAGAATAGATATATATGCACAATATCTAGCCAGCTTGAGAATTCTATACCATGCATTTTGTAGGATCAAAGAACCAAAGAAGAATAAACAGGGATTTTCACTTAGGTAATGTTGAATCTATAACAGAAGATGCACCATAACAATGCATCCCATATACAAGAGTTTCAGCTTTTTCCAAAGACACAAACTTCCGCAATGGTCAATGTAGGAAGAAGACTCACTGGAACGCTTTACCTGTATCTGAGAATACTACAAGTATTCCAACGTTCAATCTTAACCTTCAACACTAAGAAAATCAATAATTTTAACCACCACTGACAAAGGAACCTCCCACAAGCGACATAAGTTTTTAACCAAGGCCATAGTTCAAAGTGCAGATCATTGTCAATAGTTATACAACTCCTCAGTGAATCAATAAAAAAAACCAGACAGTAATTTAAGATCCCCTACAGTAAAATATCCTCACTTCAAATCAAATATTGTAATTAGCTTTTCTGACATCTAAACATGGCCAAGATCATCCAATCACACTTCCTACAGAAGAAATGAAAAGATTTTGTAGAAGCATGATTCTCTCTCTAAAAGAAAAGGAAACCTATTCCAAGAAGAGCAACATCCTCCCAGAAATTTTGCTAAAAGTTCAGGCAGAAAGTAAGCCATTTTCTACTGGGCAGCAAACCCGTATTGCTTATGAGAGGAATACCACAGGACATCTCATGCTTCTTTTAAGACAGCAAGGCAAAAGAAAAGTTGCATCCTCAATAACATAGAGCATAACAGGTAAAACAAAAAATTACAAGCACCATCCTTAATTTGAGCAAAGAAACTCTAGCATATCAACCCAATCCAGAAGCAAAGATACACAGAATGCAGTTCACCGTAATCTCTTACACTGAAGAGGGCTCTGCATTTCTCTTTCAGCTTTCTCATCATTAAACCAGTAAGAGCTTGAAAATAACCTCCAATATACAAGCACAAAGAAAAAAGAGGCTTCCTTCTGAGGCAAGCCTCAAATTGAATCCATAAACAACATCTACTACTCATTTCTACCAATCTTCCACTAGCGTTAACCTTTGATCCTAAAGCTAAAGCAATAGGAAATACGTATGGGAAACAAATATAGTACCGTGAACAACAAACACTCGAAACTTCGCAGTACACAAGCAAAGCCAAACAAACAAAAAGATCCCAAGTTTTCTGTTCACTTCACACACTATTATTGCCTTGCTTAGACTAAAAGCAAACAAAAAGATTCCTACCCACAATAAAAGAAAAGTGAGAGGTACGCAATTAAAGTCTTAACTGACATAGGTTCTTGATTATACAGAGAGAAAAGCTAAGAACAATAGTAATAAATAAAAAAAAAAGAGAAAAACTTTTATTCCTCAAATTGGCCTTCTTTCTTTCCCTTATTGAAACAAGACAAACAGAGCTCAAAATTCCACCCATCACATCCCTTTACTAAAAAGTTTTGTCAGCCGAAATAGTGAACTTCCACCAAAGACCCAGAATTATTGGAGTATAAAATTCAAAGATGAAAGGTAGGGAAAGGTAATATGAAAGAGTTGTACTTTATGCCTTTCTGATTATACCTTTAAGTTTCAACCCATGATTCCTTTTAACAAAGTGTCGTCCGCGTACGCAACGAATTTCTAGGACAAACCCAGAATAACCAAGGTAGACAAATGAAAATCGAATGGAAGAGAAATGGGAAAAAAGTGAGTTATACTCTTTGCTTTGCTTGTTGTACCTTAAGTTGGCTGCACTGGTTTTTACTAGGCAAACAGAATGAGAGATGGTGATAAACTCATAAACACAAATCATAGAGTAGTACCGTACTGGCAGTTGAAGCAAAGATTGGAAACGAAAATACTGACCCCATGCATGCAAAGATATTATAGATCCAGGAGGGCAAGGGCAACAGTAATCTACACAGTTGCATTCAGCAGATTGAGAGAGGAAAACACTGCACCCAGAATAACCATCAAAGAGAGAAACAAAATCCCTGCAAGGATAGATGATGGGTATTTTGCTATTTAGTACTAATGTTAGTGCTGAAGCGGCTATTGAAGGAAGAATGAAAGGGAAGCAAGAAAGAGAGAGAGCAGGGAAAGCGGAGCGGATGGGAACTGGGGAAGTGTGAAATGGGGGAAAATGGCAAAGGACGGTGAGGAAGTCGGTTGGGATGGCTGCTAGTGGTAGTGGTGGATTGAGCTACGGCCACTTGTGCTGAGTGAAAAGGACTGCATTGCCCCTCGGGTGCGTCATCGGTCATGGGTTTATTTCACATTTTGGTGAAAATTTTCTTGGTTTTTTTTTTTTTTTTTTTTTGGGTTTTTGTGTTTTGAATCTCAAAGTGTTTTCTTGTGTTTGGTAACTTTATAATTATGTGGTAAAAACCAATTGGTTTCTTCTTTTCTTTATTACTGTAAAATTAACTTACAAGGGTCCTTAAAAAAAGTAAGTTATGATGGAAAATACTAATAATAATAAACTTTTCTTTTTTAAAAAAATAAAAAGGACGAGATATAAGAAGCTGAAAAGGAGAAAAAGAAAATTTAAACCTAAAAAGTCCTATTAAGAAAAGTTAGATATAGCTGTGGTGGATTTCATGGCTAGAAGATTACAACATCTTTATTCTTCTTCGTCTCCGTTTGGATTGACCTATTTTTTTAAAAATAAAATTTTTAAATACAATATTACAATAATATATAAATAAAATAATTTTAAAAAATTTCATCCCATATAATATTTCAAAAAATATCTAATAATAAAAGCTTTTCATATACACTGTTACAGTAAAATATTTCAAAAACATCAGTTAATTCAAACGGTGGAAGTGGGACGAGACAACTTAATCCCAATAAACAAATAATCATGGCTCCACCTAATTTTTTTAGCAAACTGGGCCTAAGGTCCCCATTTTTCTTTTGGTGTGGATCTTAAAATATACAATGAGAACCAAAATAATTGATCCCGTCCTTCAGCTTTATGCGGTTCTGGATTTTTGTGTCCTGTAGACATGGCTAAACTAAACAGCCACCCACTTCTGTAACAAAAAGTTATTCCTATTTTGGATTCTATATATAGAATAATAATAATCACAAGTCCCATGCACTAAGGGAATTGTGGATTTCTTCCCCCCCCCCCCCCCCCAAAAAAAAAAAAAAAGGTGGACTTTTTTTGGGTTCAATGAGGGCTTTAAATCGAATAACGAGGAAAGAAAGTTTGAGAGTTTTGAGTTGGGTTTTAAGAGTTAAAAAAGAGCTGACCCATAAGCATACGCAGCTGGACCATAACAGTTTGCTACAGTAAGAGACTCATTAATTCGGTTCAGGTTTGTACGTTGGATTCATCTTATGACTAAACTATCCATCCGCAGGCAATTTGGTTACGTATTGGCCCAAGAGCAAGCACCTGTTAAGTAACCATCCACTCGCAATGCGGAGCTATTGTGCCTAATTTACGGTACACTAGTTTTTTCAGCCTCACGCGATGCGTGAGGATGCCCTGAGTCTATGTTAATCAAGATCAAATGAAGGCAAGTGAATTAATGTAAAATGGTTATATATTTAATACATGATAGGTGCTAATAAATGTGGGGAAACAATCTTTCAAGTGAGAGTCGCTATAGTCCACATATTTAGCTCTAGGTGCTCTAAATGTTACAAAGAATAGCATTATCATCACTTAGTGGTCATTAAAAACTGACCATCAAATTTTAATTGCATAAAAACATTTCTCATATGCATAATTTCCTAAAATAAAACAAGCCTCAGGAAAAAATTCAAAAATAGACAATGGGAAAAAGGACAAAACAAATAATTATAGTACTATGATTTACAGCCAAGAACTACTTATAAAGCAGGTAGTTGGGACCTACTTATAAAGCATGTAGTTGGAAAACCACATGAGCCAAGAACTACTTATAAATTACTGCCAGATGAGCAAGTTTCTTATAAATTTTCTTACTTTCACATATCATGGAACCCCCATAAACAAGTAGTTTTCTTGTCCTTCTTGTCCCTTAAACTATATTCTGATCCTGTCAAACAAATAGCATAAATGACCTTAGCTGAACAAATAATTTGTTATTAAAACTTTTTTCAGCAAAAGAATAACCCTGATCAAGAGAGGGGTATTGGAATAGAAATTGAGAGTTTGAAAGGCAAGGAAGAGGAGAAGGCAGCTGTGGTGGTGAGAAGTTGAGAGTTGTAAGCTCTGAGATTGGGAATAGAAATTGGCGATATGGGTTGAACATAAAACAGTGACTTGGCTTTGTAGCTCATTTCAGCCTCATTAGATAAGCTACGCCCAGTCATAACCATCTAGATCAAGGACATTGGTTAACTGCAGAGTTTTTTTTTTTTTAAAGCTGAAATACAATTAGCAATATGCAGTAACTTGCAGATGGAAAGTACCTTTAAGTTGTACTCCATCATAGAGCCTGCCTTCTTACTCAGCAAAGCCAATGCCTTTGTTGAACAAGAACTCAAGAAAATCAATAAGTACAAATTTGATGTACCAAAAGAAATATGTACCAGTCCATGCTCTAAGTTTATGCTTTTTAGTGTGCCGCTTAACAAAAAGCATCAAATCCCACTGCATTTAACAGCAAAATACACCAAAAAAAAACTCCAGTTAACAATCTAAACTCTACAAGAATGAGCCTAAACAGGAGAACTAATCAATGATCAGTTGCTTCTCTATTTTGTATTTAACTACCATGAGAATAACAGGCAATCATTTGCATTTTCTTCTTCTTCTTTTTCATTTTTTAATGAGTTTAAAGATAAGAAGAAGGATTATCCAGCTATCCCTTAAAATTACAATTAAATACAAACCTTTTGAGAATTTTTTTTCATCCAAGTATAGACATAATCTGCAAGTACCGCAAAAACTTTGAGGGAAAAAAACATACGAAAAAGTGGCAAAGGTTTAAAAGAATACCTCAGGCAGTGAATAAGGTCTCTGAATTCCAAATCTTTTCAGCAATAAGGTCAATAAGTAGTTTCCCCCAAAAAATCAGTGAGATAGAAAGGTGTGAATACGAGCTATTCGGTTTGGTGGATAATCGAATAATCAGAGGGAGGGGAATGGGTGGGTTATGGAACGATCAAAATTTACACCCCACCGCCTACTTCTGGCCTTGTATATCAATGGAGCGACGATATTGCCCTGAACCTCTTCTTCGAATGTCACATTGTAAAAGCCACTGGAGTTGCTAAAAATTACTCTATAACCGGTCTATGTCTACTGTCCATGGAAGAGTAACGGGAGAAATCTAGAGGATGAGGTACAAGATGGCTTGACATATGGCCCCCCAACCAAGACAGGAGGGCACCGTGGTGGTGCTACAGAGGGAGAGCAGAAAGAATTCTAGGGTCTGAACTTTGGAGCAGGAGGGCAAGCCCAGACAATTTATATAAACCTCTATATAAACCTCAATGATTGGAGAACAGACATGCACGACAATCAACAAAAGCAGAATAATACCAGACCAATTATACCTTATATCTAACACTTGGGCATTAAGTCTCATAAGATCCCGAAAAAGGATTGAATTAACAAAATCAAATTGCGCTCGATGGAGAGAATTAAATATAAGATAGGTATATATTTTTACCACAAAATTAGATTTTCAAACTCTGCCGATCACAGGAAAATGGCAGAGTGGAAGAGTAAAGATAGTAAAAGGCTGAATTTACATAAGCATTGCCCACTAATATCGACTCATAAGAGAAAGAAAGCTGCTGAGCTCGGTTGTTCTAGTTAGGAAGAGGGGCGATTGCAGAACAAGAAGAGCGATGAAATGAAGGCTAGAGCTCGTTGGTAGGATGCTTTCCTTTGCCTTACCCTATATCTATCTCTTCAGGTAGAGGTCTTGGAAGCAAGCTCGGGCGCACACGGAGCAGCCTTTTTCAGTCATGAAAAAGCGGTCTCGACACCACGACGCAAAAGCTCGGCTCTGCTCTACCGCCCGGGGATTGTTAAGGGGGCAGCTCTCACTATAGCTGTCCCAAACTCACCGGCCACAAGAAAGCCACGCGGACAGCATCGAAGTTTCAAAGCCATGCAGACAGCTAGGCGCATGGCGGTCCTTTCTCTTGTCGAAGAAAAGAAGCAATTCTTTCTCTTGTCACCCACAACAAAGCCACGCGGATAGCAGGAAATTTTCAGCAAAGCCAAAGCCATGCTGACAGCAGCAAAGCCACGCGGACAGACAGCATCGAAGTTCCAAAGCCATGCCACGCGGACAGCACCGAAGTTCCAAAGCCATGCAGACAGCTAGGCGCATGCGGTCCTTTCTTTTGTCGAAGAAAAGAAGCAATTCTTTCTCTTGTTGCCCACAACAAAGCCACGCGGATAGCAGGAAATTTTCAGCAAAGCCAAAGCCATGCAGACAGCAGCAAAGCCACGCGGACAGACAGCATCGAAGTTCTTTCTATCGTCGCCCACACCACTGAATGACAAATGCCACCACCACTGCATGATAACAGACCAAACTGCCCCTCAAGCTCACACAAATCACGCTATAACCTGCCCATTTTCACTGTAGCAAAGCCAACTGACGCTTTTAGTATAGTAAAGATTTGATAAAATTAAAGTTTGGAAAATAAAATCTTAAATTTAAATTTATTAAATTGTTAAGTATGGCTTTGTTTGGATTCACTAGTTTTTCAAAAATTAATTTTTTAAATACTATAAAATTTTTTAAAAAGTACTCTAAAGAGTAGTCTAAATTTTTTTAATATTAAAAAAAATATCTCAAAATATATTTTAAAAACTCTACTACTCTTAAATATTTCAATATATTTTCTAAAAATATCCCAAAATAGACTGTAAAAACTCTGCTACAGTAAAAATTTTTAAAAACACCCTCAAAAATAGCTAATCCAGATTTGATATATTTGAATATTTGAATGTATATCAGATTGAGTGATAGATGAACAACTTATCACTTATTTTTTAGAGTAAGTTTTGGTTTATAATTCAGTGTCACTTAATTAAGTAAAGATACCCTATTTTTTGGTTATCAAACGTGTTGGATTATCAAACCATGTGCCCTTTACAATTACTTCATTTATCATGAGCACATCTTAAGAGAATATTTACAGCCGAGAGTTAGATGCATCTTAAGGGTAAGATCATCACGCAGAAAGGATTGGAGGAATGTATACGGATTTTGTCCCAAGAACACGAGCTTTGTGTTAGAAAGAATTCAAGTCCAGGTAGGTACAGTAATGACTCCCTTCAACTCTTTTTGGAAATAAAGTAGACAGTAACCCGTAGAATTTGTTCAATCTTTTCAACCCTGTTTGGAACCTTGGTTTTTAGCCAAGTTTGTATGATACTAATTTTTTAACAACTTTTGCTACAGAAACCCCAAAATCTTATCAAAGTTTGTAACCTACACACTTTAAAATATAAAAAACACAAAAAAAAAAAAATCCCTTCCCTTTTTCTTCTTCTTCCTCCCCCACCTCAACCCACCATCACTTCGGTTGCCGGCCACCACCTCCGGCGGCCGGTTTCGGCGCCGATCACCTCTTCCGGTGCCGATCTTTTTTTTTTTTTTCCTTTCTCCCTCTCCCCTGCCATCCTCCCCCTTTGCCCGATTTTGATCCTCTCTCTTTTTTTTTCTCCCTCTCCCTCTCTCCCACTCTTCCCCCACCACCCTTCCCCTTCCCCTCTGGCTGCGACCAGATCGCACCGAGGGAGGGTGAGGGTGGCAAGGGAAGGGGAGTAGAGGGGGAGAAGGAAAATTGCAAAAAAAAAAAAAATAAAAAAATTCAGGTGTCAGTCTTCTTTTGCAGAGGCGGGCGAGGGAAGGGGGATGGGGAGAGGGGTGGCAGGGGAGGGAGAAGAGGGGTGGTAGGGGAGGGAGAGGGAGGGTGACAGGCAGAGGGGTGGTGGGGGAGAGGGGAGGAAGTGGGTGGCGGATGAGGCAGAGGGGGGTGGTGGGCAGAGGGGGTGGCGGGGGAAAGGGGAAGAAATGGGTGGCGGAGAAGAGGGGTGGCAGGGGAGGGAGAGGGAGGAGTGGCGGGCAGGAGAGGGGAAGAGAAAAAAAGCAAAAAAAAAAAAAAATTGCAGAAAGTTGTTGCTTCATTGGCAATTTCGACAAAGGGAACAGGGGAGGGGGAAGGGAGAGAAGCGGGAATGGAGGAAGGAAAAGAAAAAGGAAAGAAAAAAAAGAAAAAAGAAAGAAAGAAAGAAAAGGAAAAGGAAAAAAAGTTTTTTCATCTCACAAGTTTTTCTACAACTTCTACAGTGATCTACAGTAAAGTTTTATACAAACACTCAAAAAACTTACCTTCCAAACGGGGCCACAATTACAGATGAGAGACCTTGATTTAACATTCAAAATTGAGACCCTGGAGATTCTGCATGAATTTGCACTAACTAGATGTTATTTGGACAGCTATTTTCCAAAGAAAAATTGTTACGTTTTCCGTGAACATATTTCCCAATCACCTTTTTACTTCACATATATCAAATCGTTACAGTAATTTTTCTACAAAAAATATAGAAAAATACAATCCAAACACAACCTAGTCTTTCATCTCTCTTTATCCATGGGTTATTATTTGCTCTTTTTTTTTTATCCTATTGTCCCACTATTTTCGAATAGGAATGCAAACAAGTCAAATTTAATTGAGCAGCTTGCTAACTTATTCGATCAAAGTTCGAGGTCGAACTTGCATTAACCAAATTCGAGCTCGAGTTTGAACAGTTTGAGGTGCTTGACCTGCTAAGCTTGGCACATATAATTTTTTATTTATTAGTATAAAATAACTAGTTTATCTCTTATTTAAAAGTATATAAAATATAATTTTTTAAAAAAAAATTCAATTAAATTCGATTAAAGTTGATCGGGCTCGAATTTAGTTTGATTGGACTCAATATTGCTCGAGTTAAATGTATTCAAACTCAAGCTTGAATCTAGATTTTTTAACTCGAGTCGGGTTTTAACATTGCATTAATCAAGTTTGACTCTGTTGGATTGCACGAAAGTTACTCTTGATGATATCGAAGGAAAAAAATCTGAAAAAAAGTACGCTGTAATCTTTTAAAAAATAAAAAGATCAAATCAACCTAAAACAAATGGCGGCTGCAGCTGATTTTATTTGAGGCTTGGTCTTCGACTTGTTTGCTTCAACCGTATAGGTTCTTCGTCTTCTCGTTCTTCTTCTAAACCCAAATTTCTATCTTTCGTCTTTATCTCGTGCTCGTTGAGGCATGAACAATTTAAAAAGGAATGGTTTTTCTGTCATCAACTTCAAAATTTTTTTTTTTTCAAATATCTTGTTTTGTTTTGGTGATTGCAGTTCAATATCAAGAATCCTACCACAGGGTGCCGGAAGAAGCTCGAAATTGACGATGACCAGAAATTGTACGCATACGCCTCATTTTTTCCTCCTGATTTTCATCTTTATTCATATTTTACTTCTGGGTTTTTCATATTTTTGTTGATTTCAATTGCGCTGAAATAATTGAGTTGTGCATTTGTTTTTAGTAATTTAGCTGAATGATGTATCGATTCTTTCTTAATGTTTGTGCTGTCATTTCTATATTGGATTTTATATATAAATTATTACACATGACATAAGGATTTCTGTGCTCTGTTTTGCTGTTTTTGTTGTTTTTTTTTTCTTTGTGAGGAATATCTCTCCTGGGTTTGGAATAATGGTGTCATTACATCTTTGATTGGGTTGCTGTAAAATCTAACCGATGTGAACCTCAACATTTAATTAATGTGAGCTCTATATTGTTTGGGTAGGGCATTAGCAGCTTAGTGGATTTGCGTTTTAGAAAAGTATCTGACGGAGAAAGTTGTTGACTTGGGGAAGAAGAAGCGCAATAGAGAGAGGAGAGATGAGTAAACTGAAATCGTCGAGCTCTGAATTGGATTTGGATCGACCAAATATCGAAGACTATCTGCCCTCCGGATCCATCCAGGAACCTCACGGCAAACTTTGCCTGTATTCTCCTACTTATTTCTTCTCTTTCCCTGTTTTCATTTTTTATATACTATAAAACAGCTTTGTACTAGGTAAGGTTGGCGTTGAGAATTCTAAACTGGACTTTGCCTTTTTTTTTTTTTTTTTTGCAGGCGTGATTTGCTCGATATATCACCTACCCTCACTGAGGCTGCTGGTGCCATTGTTGATGTAAACTCCTTTCTCCTCAATCTTCATTTTTATTCTTTACTTTTATCCCCCTTTTTTTTGCTTGTATTTCTTCTCTCACCGATGCCATTCTAAATTTGTTATTCTCTCTCTAAGTAGTACTATATTGTTAAAATAAATAATGGCATTTGTTGCTGTTCTTTTTTTGGTCCTTGCCTTTTTGTTCTGAAACCAGGTTGGCCACATTTTCACTAGAGTCACAGTTATAGGATACCAATCCTTATCCTTGCAGAAACTCTCTCTCTCTCTTTTTCTGAGCACTTGAAAGTTTTGGTTTCACTTCTGCTGTTTTCAAAACTCAAGTTGGGGGAAACAATTGTGGTTAATCAACTAGCCATGCACTTAACAAGCTTCTCTTCCAGAATTTAGATCATCACACTATTTAATGGACTCTTCTGATATTGTATCACACCAAACTAACATTATGCACAAGATTATCACATGTAAATTGTTCCCCAATATTCCATTGAATTTTTTTGATGTTCACAAAACATGTTCTTTCATTATTTCCAGTGTCGACCTTATTCAATATCAATATCATTTATTGGCCAATTCTTTGTGTATCACAGGATTCCTTCACACGATGTTTCAAGTCAATTCCTCCAGAACCATGGAACTGGAATATATATCTCTTTCCTTTATGGTGCATGGGTGTCCTTGTTAGATACTTAGTTCTTTTCCCATTAAGGTTAGTTTTTACTTTTTCTTTTGGGGCTTGTTTGACTTTTCCCTGTCAAGCCAAAAAGAGGGACAAACATGGAATGTACAAGTAACTAATAGAAGTTTCCCAGAAGATCTTCCCCTTGTTTTGCAGTGCTATTATACTAAGTTGGAGGGTTTAATCTTGCTTGTTCACCGTGCAGAATTTATTGCTTAAGTATGTGCTGTGATAGTTGATCAGTTGGAGCCAATCCAGCTTGAAGAAACAAATAGTTT